TTTTTTTTTTTTTTTTTACCTCTGACAAATACAGGACAAAAGATGGTTGAGTGGAACCAGTTAGATGTGTCCTCATTCCTGGATCAGGTCACAGGCTTCCTATCAGAGCACGGGCAGCTGGATGGGCAGTCAAGTCAACCTCCGGCCAAACGGGCTCGTTCTGTAAGTGTTCACATTGAAGGTTCTGGAGGTTCCTGAAAAAGCATTTATGTATCTTTGCTCCACATCACAGTCTTTTATCCGTCTATACAGGAGAGCTTGATAGATGCCAGTGAGGACAGTCAGTTAGAGGCCGCTATCCGGGCCTCTCTTCAAGAAACACACTACGAGTCCACCCAGGACAAGGCAGAGTCCCGCTCAGATGATGATTCAGATGCCGAACCTTTCTCTGACAGCGAAGGCCTGATCTCAGTGGATGGTTCAGATAATGAGGCCGTCGGAGGGGAGGATTCTTTAGATGGACACGTCTCTGCAGAGGTAGCTCCTCCCACCAGGCCGGACAGCCCAGCCCATCACAGGAAGTCCCCACACAAAGAGTTATACCACAGGAAAGAGGAGAGTAAGAAGAACCACCTAGAGCCGGTCGGGCTCAGTCACAGTCAGACAGGACAAACAGAGTCCCAACAGCAGCTAGGAGAAAACCACAGATCCACATCACACCAGCCCTCAGAACCTGCCGGCACCAGCACAGCAGATCCAGACGACAACGGTATACACCATTTCTCAGTTGTCTAAAGGGATAGTTCACCCAAAGAGAAAATACTGTCATTATTTGCTTATCCTCATGTCATTTAAAACCTGATTGCTGTTTTTTTTTCACTGAAGATAAGAGGAAAAATCCATAGTTCATATCCAAGTTCATAGTGACCTTCTTCTGTCAAAGTCTAAAAAAGCAAAGCAGTAAAGGTAGTCCGTATCCGACTTGTGGACTATTCCAACTGAACTGAGGTAAAACAACATCTTTGTGTGAGAAACAGACTAAAATTCAAGTATTCTCTGATAATCTTCCCCTCCAAATAAACCTTGTTCAGACTGTCAGCCCAAATCCGATTTTTGTGCAAATCCGATCATATAAAATCTGAACTACATGAAATCCGATTTGTGCCAATCCGTTTCGAGCTACATTCGTATCCTATTCAAATCGCATTTCTGGAAATCCGTTTCAGTCTGACCGCTCAGAACAGATTTAGCGTAGCTTTTTCACGTCCTCTCGCCACGTAAAACGTAAACACGTCAGACGTTTTCGTAAAAAACATGCTGAACGTCTTTGCAGAAACAAGCTTGTGTCGTTGCGAAGTGCAAGTCAAGTGGAAAAACACCATATATTGCTAGTATACGCACCTCTTTGAGTAGCGGAGACGGCAGCACGGAATAAAGCCGCACATTCCAGCTTCCTGCGTTTCTGATGCTGCCTCACAAGACGATGACAATACAGCGCAACCGCGACGGCAGCGTGTTGTCATGTCGTAAGACAACATCTGTATTGCAAAGTGTATTGCTGTTATTGTTGTTTTTAGCGTAGGCATAACAACGCAACGGCATTGCCATAGAAACCAGTGCACATTCCGTAAAACGAAAGAGAGCGTATGGACACACAAATCGGAAATGAACCATTGCGATACACTGTGTGGACAGTCAGTTATTCAAATCAGATTCCATCCAGATATGCACAAAATTGGATTTGGGCTGACAGTCTGAACGAGGCTAAAGATGTTAATTTGAGAATCATTGTGTCCAGATGGAGTAGAACAAGATGCATTGATTCAGTGATCCAGTCATAAGAGTTTGTGTGCTACTGCTAACAGCTGGAATGGAAGAATATCAGTTAATAATGATTTAAATTTCAGTCCGTTCCTCACAGAAATCTATCAGATGGGTTAAGACGACTTGCATATGGTCAGTTTTGTTTTGTTTTGCCATTTTTGGAACTGTCATATGGAAACAAGCTGATCTTCAAACATTGACCTTTTGTGTTCTGCAGAAAAGATTTAGAATGGTTTCGAATGAAATGTCGGTGAGGTAAATAATGGCAGCTTTTTGGTGACTGTCCCTTTAAAGGATTTGAACATTTATACATGCAAATAATATTCAGTAAGAATGAATTAATGTACTAAAATGACTCTGTTCACAGGTCCAAAGGCCCGCTTAATGCTTCGATACCCAGATGGCCAGAGAGAACAGATAGCACTGTCTGCTAAAGCTAAACTCATGGTGAGTATAACGTTTCATGATGATTTTTTAATTTTTAAAAATTTTTTTGCCATTGCCAACTTTGTCGCTCTTAGGCATGTGACCGTATGAATTATTCATATCATGATAATTGCTGAAACTTTTACTGTGGTAAAAGGTTCACAAGATAAGCGAATTTGTTTAGTAACATTTTCAAATAACAAAAAGAACATGCAAGAATAACACAGACCATTCAAAAAGCAAATACAAAGTGAATACAAAAATCTGTTTTAAAAGATGTAAATACTGTTTGTCAGTACTTTCTTCTCCATAAAAAGCTGTTGTCAGAAGTTGTGCAGCATTACTTTTGTGTATTGGGGCATTTCTGCCCTTTCTCAAGCGCCACCTACGGTCAAAAAGCTGGTACATTTTAACTGGTTGATGGAAAAGAGCCTAGAACACACATTTCTAAAAATCGAAACGGTTTGAGTAAGGTATCTAGAATTATTCATGGTATTATAAAGTGTTCACAATAACAATACAGCGCTTTAAGGCTGTACAATTTTTTTTTTTTTTTCCCAGATAAAAATTGTTATCTGGAATTTAAAATTCAATTTAAAAATCCAGGTTTGCTGTGCTTGTTTGTAGGGCTGCACAATGCAGCTAAAACGTAATACCAAAATATGTCTAGCCCCTACCAATTTATGAAAACCTTATTTCTGTTAAAAAGGAAAAAAAGATTGCAGCAGGAGATGTCTAATACAGAAACATTTTCAAATGTGTGTGAATTCTGATGTAGCCTTCATTTTCTTCCTCTGTTCTTGTTTGTAGGCACTGGTGAGACACGTTCAGTCTAAGGGATTCCCCAATGAACGCTTCGAACTTGTCACCAACTTCCCCCGCCGAAGACTCGCTCACTTGGACTATGACATCACACTGCAGGAAGCAGGACTGTGTCCGCAGGAGACTGTGTTTGTGCAGGAAAGGAACTAGCCCCTCCCCTTGTAGATAAATCACCCCCCCTCCTGTCCTGTCATTTGTGCCCTAGAAAGACTGAATTGACTGTGCCCTTTTACCACTTGTCTTTTTTTCTTTTTCTTTTTTTTTATAATAAGTCCAGGATACTCCGAACATTTGGTATTTCATAGGGACCGTCCCTTGAGCTGCATTTGTCAACGTATTTATTTACAAACAACTTGGCACGTCCCATCCATCTAATTCTTGAAGACAGTACATGTCCATGAGTTACGCTCATATTGATCTGGAAATTAAAAGGGTTTTACAGATGGCGTTGATGTAGGGAAAACATTGTGTATCATGTATATGCAAAGTTTCTAAGGATTGAACATCAGTTCCAAAGTGACTACAGTTCCTGTTAAAATCATCTGAGCAGGTTGGGATCCTATTGAACATGGGCTCAGGTGATGAATTGGGATGAATGTTTATTATTTAGAGGTAAACCCTCACATATCTCATCTGCAATGTGCAGGGACGGAAGAAGTAGTGACATTTAGCTATAGTAAGTTTCTATCTCCTTTTTTATATACTGCATCATTTCCACAAAAAACTGATTCTCAAATATAATCATTGAAACAAAAGGGACAGCTGGTCCTCTTGAGTATTTCTTCAATAACTTATTCGATTTCTCCTGTTTAGTGACATGATTTTTATCAAGAATATGCGTTTTGAGCAGAATCCTCCAGATGGGAGCTTGAATATCTCATATGTGGCATATGAAGGAGTGGAAGGATCTGGTTGTCTTTTTATGCATTTAGGGCAACTTTTTAATTTTGCATACAGAATCAGATTCTTAGGTTTAGCTTAGTAATGCACCAATATTATGAACAGTATGAGTGCATGAACGTCGCCACTGGGGGGCAGACAAATACTCAAAGTAGCTGTAGCAGTTTTCTCATAGATATCTTCTATATGTAGACACCACATTAGCAGCTGATAGCCCAAGTCATGCACCATATTGTAATGGTAAAACCTAGTTATTCACATGTAAGAATATCTATTTCTGCAATATCTATTTGTTTAGGATCTGATTTTCACAGGATATTTAGTTTATCATTAGTGCTAAATAATGTTGCATATGGTAAATAAAAATGAATATATGTTAAAGCTCTTATAAATATTACTGATCATCAGAGAACCCTACTGTAGAGATCTATAGTTTTTACAACCATATGCTGCACATTTTGTGGCATTTTTGGTGAAAATTAATTGGGTTTGTTGGTGCGAGTGATGAGCAGCATCTGAAATGTTGACCATTCCAAGTGGACACATTGACATGTTTGGAGCAGTTGAATGAGGTATCTGAGACATTTGCTAGCGTATGGGTTTGCATAAACACCACTGCAGAGATTTATATACAGTACTGTTAAAAAGTTTGAGATCAGTTTTTTTTTCCCCGACAAGGATGCATTAAATTGATCAAAAGTGACAGTAAAGGCATTTATAATGATACAAAAGATTTCAAATAAATGCTGTTCTTTTGAACTTTCTATTCATCAAAGAATCCTGGAGAAAAAAAAATCCACGATTTCCACAAAAATATTAAGCAGCACAACATTACTGGTAAGAGATGTTTCTTAAGCAGCAAATCAGCATATTAGAATGCTTTCTGAAGGATCATGTGACACTAAAGACTGAAGTAATGGCTGCTAAAAATTCAGATTTGGCATCACAGAAATTACATATTCTAATAAAAAAACTGCCATTTTAAATCGTAATAATATTTCACAATTTTACTGTTTTGCTATTTGCCTTAATATCCCTGTGTTCTTTCCTGCTCTTGCATCATTACTTTAGAATTGCACTTTAAAATTTTAAAGTTGTGATATCCAGGCCTGGAAACAACATAAATATTTAGATATTTAAAAATATTTGGTCACTGAATATCAATGTAGTTAGGTTTGGTTGTAATATATTTCATCAGCTTTAAGTTGCTCTCATTTATTGAAGGCAAAGTCAAGAAGTCAGATTTTGCCTGGAGCAGGAAAACAGCTAAATGTTAAATATGATTTACAGAAAAGATGAAACAAAGGGAAAAAGGAAACATCAAACAGTTCCAGATGACAGGATGTTTCAAGGACAAGATATGTTCCCTCTGAAGTTCAATGTGACACTCCTGAAACACAAGAAACAGCTTGGGTTTGAGATCCAGTCCCTCATGAACAGGGTATAGGTTTCTGTCATATCCAGTGTTGGGGAAAGTTACTTTTAAAAGTAATGCATTACAATATTGCGTTACTCCCTAAAAAAGTAACTAATTACGTTACTTAGTTACTTTTCATGGAAAGTAATGCGTTACATTACTTTCGCGTTACTTTTTAAATATGAGCAGGGCTTGATTGTTTTTAATATAAGAAGTTCTATTTATAGCAAATATAAAAGCCCTTTCACACCAAAAAGTGTAATGAATAAACCTCAGGCTGAAGCAAAAGTAAATTCACGTCTGTACAGTAGAACGCAGGAGAAGAAACACTCTTCAGCAATAAAAAAAACAAAGCACAATTGCTAGTTTCTCTAAAGTCATTTTTGCTTATTAGTATGATTGAACTGGATCATCAAAGGTCAGCAGCAAAGACATCAGTTAATGAAATGGGATTAGATACATTTGTGTTATTTAACATATTTAATTATTGCAGGTTTGCATCATATTCTGAGTTTGCATTTCACTGTTTTAATTCATTTTGATGAATACTAAATCTGTTTTTTGTGAGTGGGATGAATTAATGCACATTCACATTTAGTCTAGAACTACAGTAACATCATGTTCACACAACGCCTCTGTACTCCCGATTTCTCCCAATATGGGGACAGGAGACTTGTCAGTCAATAAATGGGAAAACAAAGTAACTGGCATTACTTTTTTGAAAAAGTAACTCAGATATTTTCTTGTAAATTAAAAAAGTAATGCGTTACTTTACTAGTTACTTGAAAAAAAGTAATCTGATTACGTAACTCGCATTACTTGTAATGAGTTACCCCCAACACTGAACGTGACTAATAAACACACAATTATGACAATATATGGTTTATCTGAGTTATTATTATTATAATTTTCATTAAAATATAGTATATTTATAATGCAATGCCTTTATCACTGCTTA